TGACATTATGCGTTAATGTTAGGCTCTCAATAAAAAATCACTTAGTTAAAACTTGAAATCAAGGTTCATAAAATCTCATCTACGATTGTTTTAATTCAGTTAGCCTTTATATAAAAGGGATTTTAAATATTCTCTATCACGTTTGCTATCGGGTCTTTCTTATGGTAAATAAAGGCCGTATGATAAACATATAAAGCAACAAAGCACTTAGAATATTAGAAAAGACGAAAACATGTAGCTTTCATGGTATTAGTCCCTCGTGATACGAATAAGAATACCACAGTTTATGATAAGAGATTGGGGAATAGTAAACGTTTTACTGCTATAATCCTGCTTTCAATGCCACTATATAACCCCTATATGGCTTGCGTCATCATCCGCTCAAAGAGTGCGTTTCAAAGTACAATTTAGATATTTATACTGCAGATAATACTGATGCTTTATTTGACACATAACAGTTATGTGTTTATTTTGATTTATTCATTCTTCGAATGGATTTCAATCTGGAACATATTGTCATTAATTATTGTCGCTTACATTGTATAAATAATACTGTAACACATAACATTTCCCATCCAATTGGCTAATTTCATGTTGTGAAACACATTTTTGCATGTAAACTCATGTAAGATCACAAGGTACGACTTGATCAATATTGAACCATAGAAACATAAGGTTTACTATTACCTCTAAAATAAATACAATAATGCAAATATTAGTATTTGTTAGTGATAGAAACTAAAACTGGTTTAAATCTGTTTGGTCGAGGACAGATTTGACATAATTCACAACAAAACTACAAAACATTAATTTTATTTCCTATCCCAATATGTGAATAATTTGAAGCACTTAAAAACAATTATATCAATTCTTATCAAGTAATGAAATGTTTCGTAATTATTTCTATACATTATCTTTTCTCTGGCTATTTAATTATTTTTGGTTTAAAACATCATTTGGCACATGTAACACAACTTGTTTATTTATCTTGACGAAAGTTTGACTCACGTCCTGTCTGAAGTTGCTTGTGTTAACAATTCCGTTAACTTTCTATAAACTTTGCCAAACCACAGCTTCACTTTTACTGGCTGAATATCTGCTTACGTGATGGTAAATCTTCAGTTATTTGGACCACTGGTCAGACAATTAAAAAAAATCTTATAAAACCTAATTATATTTAATATACTTTCAGCGGTTTTTAACCAGCGTTCTTTCCTTGTATCGGTATGAAAAATCATTACACACAGCATCTTTTTAAGAGACTACTAGTAGAAACATTATCCAGCGTATATTATTTATTTACTTACTAGCTGTTGTACCCGTGCTTTGCAACGGGAAGAGGACTCAAAATAGAAACATTTTAATCTTTACATCTGTTGCATATAATAGTTACACATCCGCCAACGCTTTTAGAAACAAAATTCAACTCTTATGGCCTTAATAGAAACGTTTAAGTTATGACTTTTAAATCTGGCAAGTAGTGGATATCACCATTTTGGTTTTGATTAATTTTAAATCTTGTCTAGGCTGATATGAGAAAAACTGACAAAATCTTCGAATAAAACTTTCACATACGATTTACGTTCATCTCCCTTAATTACATATCTTTTTATTTATAATTGACATTTTAAATTTAAATTTTGAAGTTGCAAAAATACTAATTATTGAATTTAAATGGATTTTTTTTTTATTTCACTCTTCTTAATATTAAATAACAAATCCTTCCATCTTCAGTTTCTTCACTCACAATAAATCATTAGCAAAACAAGTCAGCTGTTATAAACTTTAGAAGTATTTTTGTGCCTTATCAATACAGTCTTTTGAAATATTAAAGAAACTATATCTATAGGCTACTATGAAAAATTTTAAACAAATAATTTAGCATTAAGACAGCAGACAAATGTTTAGTCGAGGACTAAAAAATTTAATAGCAAATGCAGTAATATATGTTTCATTGCATCTCTGATTCTACTCTACAAAAATATCAACAAACAACTTAATATACAAACCAGTTCTTTTAATCAGTTCCATCGTCCACTGCCTTTAAATTTTCACACCTACCATTAAGTAAATATAGTAACAGATATTTCATTGATTTTAGAAACAAAAGAACACTGTGTACTGCTTAGTTTTATGATATTTTCCTTGGTTTAATTTAATCAGTGGTGTGGCAAAACACAAATAATAAATTTATCAAATAAAGTAAATGTGAACTGAAAGCTATGTTATGTAAAATAAGAGTATTTTGTATTACCATTTGATAATTAAATATAGTTACACTTATGCAACAGATTTTAGAACACAAAAATCAATGACGTACAATTTAGTTATTGATGATATTCTTTAGTTTAATTTAAGCATAGGTTTAGCAACACACAATAACTAAATTTACCTAAATATACGAATGAAAAACAATGTCATGTGCAAGTTATGTTAAGTTAATCTAACACATGTTAAGCAGTTCGAATTTATTTAAAGTAGCCTCCAAATTCATACAAAACACCTATACATTGTAATTTTTACACTGTTTCCATGAAAACGTATCAATAACATTATTTTCATAACTGACAAGCTTTAAAAAATCCAAAGCAGAGCCGGGGTTTTTACAGCAACGGTTATAGAATCTTTTTTTTCTATAATCATTGACAGTTTTAGATTGATTAATCCAAGATAAAACGCTAGATTAAAATAAATCTACCTCATAGTTATGGAAAATATTATATTTAACTTCTTTGTATCAGCTGTCTGAAATTGTGAAATATGCAATTTAGCAGTTCTTCTTGTTTACATTGAAATGTCAAAGCAAATGTAAACAAACATTATTAGTGTTCTAATCGCATCCATGGAGACCAATCAATATTTATTTTTTAAATGTTCACCTCAGAACTTTTAAAGCCAAAGGGGAAAAGCCTATGGTCAGTATCGAAATGTTAATAGTTCTATAATGGTCCTTGGTATGTTAGCTATATTTTTGTAAAATTAAGGCCCAGTTGGTTCAGTAGTTTTTGCACCTATTAGTAACACACATACAGACAGACACTTTAAATTTTTATATAATAGTATAGATAAGCTTACATTATTATTTACAAACTACCATACAAGTGGAAATAATCGTTTTTACAACACTGTAGAAATAATTCTTTTTAACCTCTTTTTGAAAAATTCTTATATAGGTAGCCAATAAAATAATAGAAAGGGTATAATCAAATGATGCTATTAATCAAATAATTTAAGAAGAATTTTTATATTAAGCTATTAAGCCTTAATTTATAAACCATAAGTTAATAATATTTGTAAAATCCTTTATAATTTAACCCCTAAACCCCTAAATTAAACCCCTTTTATTTAATTAGTTTCATAGGTTCCACGATAATATTAGCTCAATGTTAACCACGATAACGCCGACGAATGTAATAATATTGTGAGTTTTCACATAGAAACAGTATAATGTATAATAGTATAACTATATAACAAGTATAACTATATCTAATATTTATTACCCAGAAAATTACATTAAATATCCGTTAAGGTGAATTCCACTTTAAGTTTTCATTTAGATCAAATTTAAAAAGTGGTTGAGTCATAGTATCAACTACAAATTGATTCTTTGGATCCGAGAGCTGCGCCTCACCCTGGGCCAGATAGAGTAGAGCCACGGAAAAGCTTCAGTAAGTGGATTACATCGAGTATCCGGCTTAGTCACCTCTTCGAATTTATCCTCACTTCATACATCATTTTGAGAGCTCATTTTAACTACCTGTCTCTTTGATTCTTCACTCCACCTTCTGATCTAGCCCTATCAGAGCGATATTCTTGTATGAGGAATGTTCTGTAAATAGAAACAGTTTACACATGAACAACGCTATAAATAACATCAGGAGTTTATTTGTTTGTTAAATGCTTACATGCGTCTTAGATCTGTTTGGGTTACAGAAAAAAGGATTTATTTAACATTATCCAATAAGTATGAGCTTTTTTTTAGTTAACTCTTTACGTTATGATGCAAATTATACGTCGTAGCTGGACATTAATATTAACGAATCAGGTGTATAGTTTAACGGAAAGTGCTCCTTAGTAAAAAATCGCACAAAATAAAAACAGTGTTTTTATAAGTGAGTATTTTATATTGCAACAGTAGTTCTTTACAATAATGTATCCATCTACAAGCGCGTAATAGTATATTTCGTTACTAGTCCGGAAAAGCGCTCTTTGCCAGTGCGAGGTCGTGTTAACGGATCGGAATGTAGATCAAGCACTGGCAAAGAGCTTTTCGGACGAGTATTGAACGATACTTTTCGTCATCATACTACAAACAAGTCATATAACTACAATCCAAGAATCAAATTTTATTCTAGAATGTATAGGTTTATTTTACTCAAAAAACATCAATGAGAGGTTAATTGTGGCCAATGATTTTACCACAATGAAAGTCAGCTGTTGCGTCGCAAAGCTGTGGGCGAAAATTGGCTTTCACCATAATATTTAATTAACATGTAGCTAATTTTTGTGATCGGAAAAGACAACATGGAAACATGTTGTTTCAAACGAAAACAGCAAGTTTCCAGTCGCACTTAAGTATTGAAAGTCATGTTTCCGCGTAGTATGACGAAAATCACATTTTAAGACTGAACAAAACAAGAGTTCGTTCTTTTATACCTGACGTTGATATTTCAGGTGAAAAGACTCTTTTGCAGTTTTTTTTTAGATTTATATACTATTCGGACTAAATACAACTATTTATTCGATTTTAGGGGCTAGCTACCATTTATATATAAAGTGTATAGTATAAAAGTATAAAGTAAAGTAAAGTATTTAGCGCTTTAAAAAAATCTATCTAGTTTATAATATTATAGTACCGGTACTTCGACATCGGGATTTTTAATATAATAAATTTAGACGAATGGATACATTTTAAAGTATCTCGTTTCTCCATCAAACACAAGATATTTAAACTATTTTTATAGTTGCAAGTTTCGTCACATCTGATGTATGTGTTGCAGGTCTAATTGATGCAGCGCGGATGACGAGTGAAGAGGAGCTGGCCACGACGTTGCTCCAGCGCCCCGACATGTTGGAACGTGTGCTAGACTCCAACCCCGAACTGCTCGGCAGAATCGTGCAAACCATAGGACTCAAGGTATGTTACACCCTTAGTATATATATTGTACGTCTGTTACTAACTACCGCAAAATTTGGCTCAATTGAGTACAGCTTTAGTTTGCCGTTCAGCCAAATATACAGCTTGGAAGCTGAGGCGTCTTGGATCAATCCTCAGCACAATCTCAAGCGTGGCTTTTATTTTAGTTGTATGGACGATTAATTGTAGTTATTGATATCTCCCCCAACAATTGACTATTTGGGTTGCAGGAGACGGCACTATGCAGTCTGTTAGACCGACACCCGGACCTGCTAGAGAAGTATCTGGAGGAGCACGCCAGTCCGGAGCTGATATCGCGTCTGGTGCGGAGGTACCAGGAGCGGCTGAGGACGGACCTCTCGGTGATCCCGCGGTCACCAGAGCCGCAGCCGCCCGCCTACACCCGCACCGGCAGCCGCGCGTCCCTCACCGTCGCCGAGGTGGAGCCCCACAAGCGGACATCAGTCACCTCCGAGCTGTTTCATACCTGGCTCAACTCCTCGCCTATCAAGCGAGCTAAGTCCCCCAACAGGTACAATACATGTAGCCAGGTACAGTGTGCTGCATTTGAAAAATAATCACATTTGCAACAATAGACGTTATATATTCCTCCGAGAACTAAAACGATGTATCAAAGTCCCACCAAGTGGGGTATGTTTGAAGTGTGTGAAGTGCCTGTAAAGAGTTTGTTTGGACTCTAAAGAATCATGTTTCATATATGTTGAGGTTTAAACATGTTTACCCTCTCACTGTGTAACTAAATCTCGAGCCACGTTTCTTTTAATCCATGGTAGACCTTACTACGCACTTCTGCTTTGTTAGGCACTTAAGAGGAATTGTTCGTTATGGTTTTATGTGAAAAGATCATTTTATTAGTACATTGGACGAAAAACTGTAGAGTAAGAAATTCTGCTTATCAATAATTACTGACAGAAATTGAGTAGGCCTATTATAACTATTATCGATGATATATCCAAATTTGATTGACCTTAAAAAATAAGTTAGTACGTAATAAACAAAGGTTTTCAGGTTCTAAACCATTTTTTTTACTGTGTAGTTTTATGTCTATAATATTTTATAATTACTGAATTCCTACAAAATCAGTCAGACATATCTTTCATCCTTATTTCCAGTAACATTTTACATATGTGCGGGATTATAGTACACACTGTAAATATCGTCATTTTAACTAAAGTCATAAGTTTGTTGTGACCATGATTTAGTTCACCATTTGTAGTTTGTAGTTATTCCAGTTTCGTCCCTGTAAAAGATAAAGTAATAACTTTAATAAAAGAAAAGTTATATTCGATGTATCATAAGAGTAAATCTGTTTGGCTTTGAATGAAATTTTCTTTCGAGTATAATATTCTACTTTAGGGGAATATTGACTTTAATGTTTCGAGTCGTATTACATTTTTATGACAAGAACAACGGTCGTAATAAGTTTATTACTGTTGTCTTTGTAAAAGTAACATCAAGTGGGCAATAACAACGTCTTCGTTCTTCGTTTATGACCGCATGATGGTTGGTTTTAAATATTTGGCATTTTCTCAGCAAGGATAACAATTCCGATTTTAAATTCATGCAAATGTATTATAACAACTAAATACGGTTCTTTAGGTAATTTTTCCTTTTTATATAATTTCAAAGACGCCTAACCTAAAAAAGGAATACAACAACATTGCATTAAGTTAACGAGTATTACCCTAAATAAATAATATATATATATATATATATCAATTATTTTGTGACAGGAATAAATTTAATTGTATTATAGGCTAATTTTAAAGTAAGAGACAGAAATGTCTTTAAGAATATAACTGTTATAGGAATAGAGATAGCGAATGTTAGAGATCCTAGTCACAATGTTCATAAGATATATCTCACTACGGGGACTACGGCTATCAGGTTACATGAAGGAGACATTTTTCTCGTTGCAGGCCCAGGGCTTGTAGAGAATGGCGGCAACACCACAACGAACGAGGGTAAACTGTTCAAGGAGCTCATCAGAGATGTCTCATTACAGGCCCAGGGCTAGAGGAGAATGTCGGCAACATCTAGGACTGTTGGACGAGGGTGAACTGTCCATGGAGCTCATCAGAGATGTCTCATTACAGGCTCAGGGCTAGTAGAGAATGGCGGCAACACCTAGGACTGCTAGACGAGGGAGAACTGTTCATGGACCTAATCAGAGATGTCTTATTACAGGCCCAGGGCTAGTGGAGAATGGCGACAACACCTAGGACTGCTGGACGAGGGAGAACTGTTCATGGAGCTCATCAGAGATGTCTCATTACAAGCCCAGGGCTAGGGGAGAATGGCAACAACACCTAGGACTGCTGGACGAGGGAGAACCGTTCATGGAGCTCATCAGAGATGTCTCATTACAGTCCCAGGGCTAGTGGCGGCAACACCTAGGACTGCTGGATGAGGGAGATCCATTCCTGGAGCTCATCAGAGATGTCTCATTACAGGCCCAGGGCTAGTGGATAACGGCGGCAACACATAGGACTGCTGGACGAGGGAGAACCGTTCATGGAGCTCATCAGAGATGTCTCATTACAGGCCCAGGGCTAGTGGAGAATAGCGGCAACACCTAGGACTGCTGGACGAGGGAGAACTGTACATGGAGCTCATCAGAGATGTCTCATTACAGGCCCAAGGCTAGTGGGGACGAGGGAGAACTGTTCATGGAGTTCATCAGAGATGTCTCATTACAGACCTAGGGCTAGTGGAGAATGGCGACAACACCTAGGACTGATAGACGAGGGGGAACTGTACATGGAGCTCATCAGAGATGTCTCATTACAGGCCCAGGGCTAGTGGAGAATGGCGACAGCACCTAGGACTGCTAGACGAGGGAGAACTGTTCATGGAGCTTATCAAAGATGTCTCATTACAGACCCAGGGCTAGTGGAGAATGGCGACAACACCTAGGACTGATAGACGAGGGGGGACTGTACATGGAGCTCATTAGAGATGTCTCATTACAGGCCCAGGGCTAGTGGAGAATGGCGACAACACCTAGGACTGCTAGACGAGGGAGAACTGTTCATGGAGCTCATTAGAGATGTTTCGAATGAATTGGACATTGACGTTCTTTGTCACAAAATCCTAGTCAACGTAGGTCTTCTGACACACGCAGACAGAGGCTCTCTGTTCCTGGCCCGGGGTCCCCCGGAGAACCGCTTCTTGGTGGCTAAGCTGTTTGACGTCACAGTGGACACAGGTCAGTCAATTGTGTCTGTTATCAACTTGTTTGTAAAAAAAATTGAGAAATTATCTGAACACTTACAGTTATAATCACCAATTCTACATAATGTATGATGGAGGAGGTTCCTTATTCCTTGTTGCAGCTCGGCAGAAGTAATATTTTGACTGCAGTTACTATTAACATATTGAACTGTAATAATTTTTCATATACATATACCAGAAATATATTAATGATATTTACGTTCAATTATACGAGCTAAAATATACAATAACTTGACTCATTTCAGGTACATCGCTTTAAAGACTTAAATTACTTGTATTGCATCGTTATAAATTAAGGAAGTTCTTGTAGGCTGGTACTGAATTCTCCATGCAACATTATAATATTTGTTTTTGTTGTCTAAACATTAGAGGTACAAAATTACAATATAGGTATACATTGTGTTTGGAAAATCTCTTCCGAAACTAGGGTCCTTAGGTAAACACAAGCAAAACATATTATATAAACGACATCTCACTTCGTTTTCCGTATGTCGGTGTGATGTATTTTTTACATAACTTCCCATAACTTTGGAACCACTTGAGGTACCAACTTTAACCTTGGTACGTGTATAGGATGACTAATAGGAACCATTCTTTTGTCAAGCATCAAGTTTCTACTTTGTACAAATTCAAAATTGTGGCCGTTTTAATTTTTAAAAGCTTAATAACTTAAAAATCATAGGATATATGAAAAGGTTACAAATGAGAAGAAAGATTGGAAATTCAATTCAATTACAGAAATGTACAATTTGTATAGAGGCATAACACAAATAAGGGAGAAAAATTAAGTTTTCTGAAGTTCAAACAAAAAAATTGGGCACATTCAATATATAATAAGATATTACCTTTATAAAAATGAAATTTTCTCCGTTATTTGCGTTATGATCCTATACAAAGAGTACATTCTGTAAAGGAAATTAAATTTATATCATTTTGGACATTTGTAACTTTTTTATAAATCCTATGGTTTTTGAGTTATTAAGCTTTGAAAAGTTAAAAAGACCGCCATTTTAAAACTATACAAATTAAAACTTTGATGCTTTACGAAAAAATAGATCCTATTAGTCATCATACACCTACCAAGTTTGAAGTTGATACAAACTGACAAGACAAAGCGAGATAGTTTGCATTATATTTTTGGCTTTTTTTGACCTAAGGGACATGCCCATGGAGTTTCGGGAGAGAGTTTCGAAACACCCTGTATATGAATGTTCGGTTCACGGTCTCACCCTCTCACCTAGCATGAGACAAAATAATCAACTGTTATGTGTCAGCCATATACATAACAACGAACATTGCGTTTCGTTTAATCAATACATGATATATATCTAGTTAAACCTTTAAACCTTTCAAAATGTTGAGCTTTTAATTTTATATACAGTGTTATTAAGAAACGATATAGATTTTTACTGCCGTAATATCTAGAGCTACATATTAGAAAATCTGTTAGTTGTTGTGTTTTAGACCATTGTTTTAACGTACTTGCTAACGTTTTTAAGTAGAAAGTTATCAAAAGAATTATCATGAATTCACTTAATACTGTATGTCCCTTTATACCAGTTGTCTTGTTCCATCCATTATAGTATTAGAAATTAACTATTAATATCTAAATGTTACATGCGATGAAGATGGCATTGAACCACAAACAAGATGTGATGAGAACCGCAGCAATATAAGCTATGAATGCAATTCAGTAATATCCCATTAGACCGATTAAGTTACGAGTTAGTTCTGTCTTCCACTAATTTCTGAGGTTATGATGGGTCTCGACCGTCTCGACTTAGAATACATTCTATTAATAACCAAACATGCTTGGTAATAACCACTGATGTAAATCAAATAGATGCAGACATAGTTGTTAGGGCAGTAAACATTCTTTGGATAAATGTACAGCCTCAAAATATAGTTAGTACAGTATTATAATAATAGAATCCAAAATCGTGTGTATGTGTATATATACTACATTAGTTACCATCTAAAGTTGTTTAGAAGATCCAGAAATAACTCTTTAACATAGGATTAAACTCGTTTGTAAGATAAGGTGCCTTACGAAACGAATAGGTTATTTAACGCCATTAGGAAAGAGATAAAGAGAAATATTTAGTGAACCTAGAAGCTATCAGGAGCACGATGTAACGGCACCACAATGTTTCCAAGCAATTCGTTCTCAGCAGCTAAGTACGCGATAAACTCCGTCCCACCTCCTCGGTTCCGTTTATAAGAACGCCTTCAAATTTGTCTTGTAATTTAATTATCATGCTAAGGAAGAGTACTTCGTTTAATTCTCTACCTCTCTTCACTTCTGAGCGTCAGTTTTTATATTTTAATTTGTGTCCAAACTTTTGAGACTGTAATAACCGTTAATTTACACTAACCAATATGGCACTCATGTGACTGTAGAATGTAATAGAAAAGTCGATGAAAATTAATTTGCGAAAGTTGAAATGCGATGATAGGAATATGCAGGCAGCTGCAGACAAACAAAAGTATACATTTCGAAAACAAGAACTTCATTAGCTGATATTTTGCACAATGATAATCTACCTCGAAAGGGCACGGACCCATGTATAGATACGTTCGATCCATGGGTCTGATCGCCTCACAGGCATTAAAAGGTCTGAGGTAGACTTTTCAAGTTAACTGTTAATGAATCTCCGCCTAAACCAAATGAAACGTATAAAGTCAACATTTGCAATGGTAAAACCTAAATAAAATTGGTTTTAGTCTGCCATACAGCTATTTTAATTTAACTACAGAGAAAAACTAAGATGTGAAACATATTTGTTCATCAACGGTGGATAAATAATTGTAACTATGTTGAAGACGTAATGACTTAAAAAATATAATACATTTACTAGCTTTGTTTGACAACTATTTTAGTTTATCGATTTCAATTTGATGTCTGTTACAAAGACTAATTGATATTCATTTCTCAATTTCCCACTGCAGAAATTTTAAGTGTATCAAAGTGCAGTATCCTACGACTTTTCTCAGTAAAGAAGCTAATCTTAGAAAGAGATTACTGTTTAATTTGTCCAGTGGTTTTAACATGCAGGAAAGAGAAACTGTCAAAACGTATACTACGCATAGTATTATACAGTTAAATAATCAAAAATGTGCTGAGAATAGTTTTAGATTAATTTTTCAAAGTAGGCATTGCATCACACCACAATAAACACTACTGTATTGTGATATAGGACCCCAGAGGTGGTCCATAATTAGGTCCAATAACGCCCCAGCTGACCCACATGCCTCCAAGGTGTTCACCGTTGTCGCTTAGTTAACAGTTTATGACTAATTAATTGAATATGACTAATAACCGTCCCTATTTTTCCAACACAATATTGAACTATTCCAGTATATACTGTAACAAAATTAAACATAAATTTACCAAGTTTAATTAAATTCTAAAACATGGTATTTTAAAACTGGTAAAATAATGTATCAAGTTATTTATTGTTGACATTACTTTAGTGCTTACTTAGTTTAAAGTGTTTGGACTTTAATTTAGTTCATGGAATTTCCACATTTTGATATTTAGCTAGGTTTGAATATTGAAATATAACTTAAAAGTTAGCAATTAAAATAGCCAAATTGAAAAGTTGAGATTTATTTATGATTATAAGATATTATCTACAAGTCCACAATTAATCAGTCATCCCCTATGAACTAACCAATAATTACGGCCAAAGTTAGTCAGTTTGTTTCGAATAAAGCTAAAAATTCCCTATCAAACTAAGGTCGTACTTTGGCTAAACATTGCTAATTTGATAAATTACGCTTTTTGAGTAGTATAATCTCACTCTTTTGTCTCGACGCCTAAATTGATCTAGTAAGATAATATTTTACATATAGCATTAACATATAAACAAGGTATACCTATCGAGCAATTACCCTTATTAGTTTCTTTTCAAACCAATATCCTATTTGGAATGAAACAAAAAGGTAAAGTCCAATTACGTAAGTTTAGTTCAGTTCTAACTTCGGCATTAACTCCCAAAACTTTACAGATTTCTATTTTAGCAAATCACCCGTGGCAACGTTGAAACGTTAAGACTTTATAATCTATTATCTCTACTTTATCATTAGAATTATCTTTATTTAACTGACTTTTATTTATTTAAAATACACTTGTGCACAGATCATTGCAGTGCTTCGATAGTTGCGGACAATTAACTAAGTATAAAATATTATGTCAATATTACAATTACTCAAAAATTATCGTTTGGTTTTTTTAAATACATTCATTATTTTTATGTCGTTTTAAGGCATTAGCACATTAATAGCTGAAATCAATAGTTTACTTGGTAATCACATGTACTATTACTAAAACCAATATACGTTAAAACATTATACATTACATAATCATAATCTTATTGAAATACTTATGTTAAAAACAGTTAACTTTAAACTTAGTTAACGAGAATAAAGATATCTATAATCCACTTTCAGAATTAATATTGATTTTAAATATATATATATATATATATATATATATATATATATATGAAGAAGCTTTCAAATATAATTTACAAGCGGCCATAATAACATAAAGCGAGATGGTTTGTTTGAATGCGGCACTGGGCATAAAATCCCCGCGGCAAAAACACACCCATTCCATTTCATTTAACCACGACTAAACGTTAATTACGCCGTTTTTATTCACCTAATCTCACACTAAGCCGTGTAAAATCCAAGTAAGAAAATTTCTATTACATAAGGTAATTATGAAGGAAAGCTATTAAGAGCAAGGCGTTTAACAGCTCTGCATCAGTTTCTTTTACAAGCAATTCGCTTCCAGCAACTAAATACACAATAAACTGCCTCAGTTTAAACTCTAATGTTTTTACGAGGCCTTCACACCGTGGTATAAGTAAGATATACTTCATATATCAGTATACAAGATATACTTATAGTTATAAGTAAGACAGAGTAGGTTACATATTGTGCTTTTACTTCAATTAGGCTGTCAGT